ACAACCAGAGTGGAGACAATACATTTCAAAGTGCTGGGGTGGGCAAGTGTTTGGGAAGTATCATAAAAATAACAACATAAAGCAGATTATAAAACATTGCATCAATCATGTCGGATGAAACACATACATAGCTTCAGTTAAATTAGCATAATCACATATGTGCCACTATTCCTAAATGCATGAATACTATCTCTGAAAACACTGCTATAGTACATGTATTTTATACCTTTTAATGGTACAAACAAATTCAGTAAATCACTTTGGATTTAGCTCTCAGTTACTATGATTTTAGGAAGTACGGGGGATAATAAGGGGGAAACAAAGTGTACACTCACTTTCCCGTTCCTTCTTCTTCATGCGTTTTCGTCGCCTATCGATAGAGGCCACCTCAGACTTGAGGGAGAGGTAGTGGTTCCTGATGTCCTGCAGTTTCTCCTGAAGAAATGAAATCCTCTCGAGACTGCTCATCTTCTCCAGGTCAGCTGAGCAGAACCAGAATAATGCTTGTTTAGGATTTTACAGTCAACAGGGCAATGTTGAGATAACCATGCATAAAGCTTAACTTTAAAATTAGTTACTACTTTATTAGACTGAAAAAAATATCCTGATTTCGACTCTTTAAATGTGGATAATATTGTTATTCTGGTATTTTGTGACACTTACACATCTGGAAGCTCCACTTGTAGACACGCTGCGATCGCCCATGGTTGTCTCGGTGATGGACATGGTCAGTGTCACCCTGCTTGTGGTACTTATGGCTCGAGGGCGGAGATCGTCCGTGACACTTGGGTGAAGCGGCAGCCTTCACGTCTGATGTGTTGTTCTTAGAGGCAGTTGATTTGGCAGTGCCCTCAACAACAGACTGGTCCTCACTGTCACTGCTGTTGGCTGGAGGAGCAAAGATAGCGATGTGAGGAAAACAGACAACAGAAAATGACAATGTTTGGACAAAATCTCATTTCCTTTCCTGCCTCAAATCTGTTATATGCTGTCAGGAAATGAGAGAGTCTGAAACAGAACTTCTACAGCTGATAAAAACACTGGCAGCATTGGAAATAAGAAGGCAAGCCGTGTGTAGATGCTAAGTGCAGATCTCCTTACCTGTTTTCCTATTCTTTTTGGGAGGCACACCGAGGCTCTTGCGGTTTGGCTTGTGTTTCTTTGCGGCTCCACCTGTCTGTGATTCTTTCTGGCGCTTCTGACTCGCAGACGCTGCAAAGACAAAAAGAGAAAACGGCGAGTGAACAGACAGACTATGAAATGAGCCGTCAGTATGTATTTCTTTACTTTTCAATCCTGAAGAAAAATAATGAATTCTGTCATTGAAAAATACACAAAATATCACATTTACCATTATTTGTACCTTTGGACTTCTGCTCGTTCTCCTGTTGGCTGCTGCTGCTCAGCTCTAGGCTGCAGCTGCTGCTGCTGTTGTTGTAGGAGAGGCTGACATCAAACACCTTCGAGGGGGAACCCGCCCCTTCGTCCTGAGGGAGGTCTTGCGGCTCCCCGCCCAGACTCTCCACTTCCACCGTGCTGCTGTCCGTTTCACTGCGCCCGCCTGCCACCTCCTCCTGTATGGGTCCTGGGGGTAGAGCGTCAGCAACTGTCTCTGAAGGCAAGGCAGGGGGTATGGACGGCAGAGGGGAGGAAGGCTGCACTTGAACAGAGTCTTCCACGGTGCTGCCTCCTCCCGAGGGGGACTCAGGTGTTGTTGGCGGAGTGTTGAGTACAGAGTTACTGCCACTGCTTGGAAACTCCTGGAGTTTGTCGTTCTCCATCTGCTCTTCTGAGGCTTCGTCCTCGGGCCCAGCATCCTGGTCGAGACTCGGCTCCTCCAGGCACGAAGGTACAGGCGGGGAAGGAGAGTTGGCGGCCTCTGTGTCCGAGTCAGAGAACAACTCTTTCAGAGTTTTCTTCGGCCACTGCGCCTGGATGCTTGACCACACATCCTTTTGTCCTTTAGCACGGACAGCGGGCCTTTCCTCAGCATTCCCTGATGCTTTTGCCCTCTTTTCAGGAATCTCCCAGAACCCTGCTTGTCTGTTTGATTTGGACTTCTCCTTCATCCCGTTGTATTTCTTAGAAGGGGAACCTTTGGTTTTTGGGCGGCCTCGTTGAGGTCCCTCAGCCGGGGCCTCAGCCAGCGCTGCACCCTCAGAATCTGAGCTGCTGTTAGATGAGGGGCCCCTCTCCTCACCGGGACCGGCCGCTCTCTCCTCCATTTTCCTAGGAGAGCCTCCAGGTAACCAGTCGGCACTCCTGGTGTTCCTCGTCTTAGCTTTGGATTGGCCTTTTGTGGTCCTCTCAGCTGCACTGTCAGATTTCCTCTTCCTGGTGCTCGTCTCTCCCTCGGACTCAGGTTGACCTCTGCGCTTCCCGGAGTCAGTGCTCTCTGCATTGACTACGTCTTGGTTCTTTCCTGAGACTGGAGCAGGTTTGGACCCTTCAGGTGGAGTCCCGCCCTCCCAATGCTCTGATGTTTGCGCCGGCTCTAGTGGGGCCTTTTTGAGGCTGCCTCTGCAACCTGGGTGATCCTCTTCAATATGCTCCGCCTCCTCATCCTCGTGCTCACTCTCGTCAGAGGACATCTCAGAAGCTGAAGCAAATAAGACAGAGCACCACTTAGATTTCAGCAGTATATCAACAGGCATAAAACACCTATTCAGAGTCAAACAGTCCTAATCTACAGGCTAATGAGTGTTGCTACCTTGCAAGCCATTGAGGATAGAGGTAATTTCTATAGACTTGACTGCAGTCCCTTTGTCCTCACCCTCGTCCATCTTGGAAAAGACATCATGACTCAGGCCACATTTGGAGCGCGGGACGCGGTTACCGTTGGGCGACGGGCCGAGGACTTCTCGGTCATTGATCCTCTCCAGCCTGTCTCTCTCCCTCTCGGATTTGTTCTGTCAGAATTGAACACAGTCAGTGAGTCACATCATAGCATCGCAGCAAGTTTAAGCTTAAAAGTAGCAACTCTCTAAACTCATACCTTTATTTTTTTGCGGTGCTTTATTTTTGAAACATTCTTATTGGCGGGCCGCACAATCTTGTCAGCTTTGATCCATTCATCATATCTAAAAAAATTGAGTACAAAAGGAAAAGAAACAGATTCATAATTCAGATCTTTGACAGGAGCATGAAATCTCTCACACCACCCACCACACAAACACCTCTACTGTCTGACTCCAACATGTTGCTGTGACAAACTAAGCCTGAACAGCACAAGGAGGAATCCCATGGTGTTAATGTGGGAAGAGGACAAACCTTTTCACGATGGAGAAAGAAACAATATTAACACCGACCACCACACAAATCATGTTCAACAAAGTTCCGACAGTACCAGGGGTGCTACTTGTGTCGTATGAGGGAGATGAACAGTTTCACAACATCACACACACGACAGACACAATGCAGAGAAACATCCCACTGTTTCATAGAGTGCTAGAGGACCACACAACGACATTGAGACAATGGAATGCTGATTGCACTAGTTAACCTCTGTGTCATGGTACCCTAACACTCTACTTAACACTGCATTAACCCTGACCCGCTGGGGAGGGGGGAGAGGGTTGAGAGGTAGAGGTGAGTGTAGCAGCACTTTATTTGGCCTTTCAGAGGATTCAGAGAAGGGTCGCTCACTTTGAAATACCAATTCATAAATTTTGTTGAATCAGAACCACTGGTTAAACTGGTGGAAGTTCAGCCTGTCTGTGGATTTAGTTGAGAGACAGACAGCTGGGGGACAGACAGACAGGGGATTCAGTCAAAAACTGAGTGAGGGAAGCTGAGGAGTGATCCACATCGACCCAAAACTCAATTCTGTTTCTGCCACTAGATGGCCCAGTGTGCTCCATAATCAGAGTACTGACCATGGGACTGGATTAGATGAAGCAGAATTGTGAGGAAGGGATGCTTTACTGCTGCAGGGATACCCAGTGTAGCGGTGATCCCAAAGGTTAAAAGATGTCTTTCTTTTTTCTTTCTTTCTTTAGGGTGAATATAGACGTTAGGTGATTTCTCCCCAGGTCCTGTCTTACCTGACGTTCCAGCCACAGTAGTGCACCAGGTAGAGCACCTCTCCCCCCTCCACGTCTGCCTCTTTCACAGTGGCCTCGTACGTCTTCAGATTGCGGCCTCGCCCATACCTCACCTGCACCTTCATCCCCGGGGGGTAACACTCAAACTCCTCCCCCTCCTCCCCCTCCTGACTGCTGTCATCCCTGCAAGAAAAACAGTTCAGCACTTCCTGGCCCTAGGCTGCCCCAGTGAACACCACAGAGCCCCACCCGCAGCCACCCACCCGACTCACTGCCTGCTGCTGCTGCTTCAAAAGCCTGTTCTCTATCTTATTTGCTCCACCCTCGCCTGCCATGTCCCATTACAACACTAGGCCCTTATCTATTAACAAACATAAACTTTCCATTTTCTGTCCTGGTCCAGTGTAACCTATAGCAAACTGCAGCATAAACAACTGAATCATTTACAGCAAGCCAGTCAGAGAACAGTACATGGAGAGTTTCAGCAAATAAAACATCATCTTTTCATGGCAAATATAAATCATCTTGTATGGGAAATGACTCTACTGTTAGACTATCTAACCCTACATCCACACAGCAGCTACTTGGGATTCTCATACACCAACACATACTCAAACATACACACACTTGCACACACTCACTGTAAGAAACAAAGCAGCCACAAGGAGGAGCTAGTGGGGAACAGTAAGGACTTGTCGAAGCTGGAGGGTGTATGGGCGGTGCAGGAGTGCCGGTCAGTAGTTTAGGCGCAGGGGCCACAGGGCCAGGTTAGCACGGCAAAGCACAACTTGGCAGGCAGCGACTGAAAGCCAGACTAATGGCACGGGGAGGAGGCACGGCTGCAACATCCAAAGAACCTCAGTGCTCAACGCAATTCATTTCACAACTAACTGCACAGAGCATGATTTCCATGCGGAAGAGGAAGCAATGATCAAATTGTGACAACTGTGGAAACTGAACACCCTACGACTGGGGACACACTCAACTTTAAATGACAAATGATGCTGAAAACACACCGCATGTATCGGTTTCATTGAATAAAAGAATAAGCGTCAATAGGTTATAACACACACACAAACACACACACACACAGAGCTGCATAAATACGTCATTTTCATCCAATCTGTTCTCAAATGTGCCAATATGCTGTTTTTCTTGGTCTTACATTTGTACTTTTGGTCAGACATAATAATACATCTGATCAAGTCACCATTATAAACCAAGTGATTAATCAAAAACTAACCGGCATATTAATTCCTCAAAACCATAGGGATTAAAATAAATCCACTCATATTATTATGCACAAGGAAAACGGGATGAAAGTCTTTTCATTAGACATTCTTCATCATTAAAAAGGTCAAAGGTAAATAGCACTCATGCAGTAACTTAACAATTACTGCAGATCAAGAGTTTCTCTCACAATTATTTAATTAAAACCATTTTTCACATTTAAAGTTTCCCTTAAACTAAATTTTACACTGTGTGATCCAGATTACAGACAGTGATCATCAAACAGGTTTGATACAATCAGGACGGATCAGATTACGCCTGCCAGCAGGTTGTCCGCTGTGTGAATCTGTGAACCGTCACACTGACACATCGCCTCTGAGGAACAATGACCCTGACAACGTCTAAAGATCAGGGAACCTCCAGACTGTCCACATATGACAGTGATCATATTGTAGTGTGCCCACAGCCATGGGTGGTGAGAGCTTCACAGAGAGATACTAAGGCTACATCCATACTACTACATTATCATTTGAAACTAAACTAAACAGACTCTTTCCAGTGCCCACACAAGCATTTTGTATCAGCATAACTAATGCAACTAAAATGCTTATCATGTGACCACTCACATACACTGGACATGCATGTGTCAGTGTAAACAGGTAGAATTTGGTTGTTAGTTGCAGATTACTCTCTCTGATGCATGTAAACAGTTGTAACATTGTAAAATGCAGAATTTAACTGTGCAACAGGGTCAGTAACTCTAAAACTAATTATAAAGTATAATTATATTATTATTATCCATGATGCACTATACACTGGTAGCCAAGACTACGGTAGCCTGATGAATAGGTGACGTAAATGAACAACAAGACCCAATCAGCAAAAGGTTCAGTGTTGACATCATAGTTTCTGAACATCCCTGTTTCTCCCAGTCCAGACTACCATGCTGCCCAAGAGTTTTCAAACTTAAAGAGGCCAGCAGTATTTTCAAGCGGCTCTAGAACTCTGGAGTAGTGTTGACTCCAGGCATATCGGTAACAGAGTTGATGCATTTTTCAAACAAAAACATAGCGGTATGGATGTAGCCAAAGAGCAGCAGTGTGTGATCACAACATCCTGAAGTTCAATTGGACACAAAAAAATGCAAAAAAACAGACTGTTTATATTTCCCGGCAGTGTTTTCAAGCCAGTCCTCAGTGACCCATACCGCCTTAACACAAGTGTCAACCTGCAGCTTGAACAAATACACGCCTAAACTATAGAGGATCTTGAAGCCGCAGACAGGCAACAATAAGGGAATAGACATCTAACCAAGACTACACGATTCAACTACCCAGAACAAACATTTATCAGCATAGAGATTTTCTTTTTTTACCCTCTGAAGGTTACTGCCTCTGAAGCTCTATCTGGCAACTAGTGTGCTAATGCATCAGTGACAACACTCACACACATGGAACATTTACTAAAGCTGAACATAAAAAAGCCAAAAAAAATGAGAGAAGACAGAAAGAGAGAGGGCCAGAGAGACAGAGATAAGAGTTGAGGAGAGGGGGAGAAACCAGAACGAGCACAGCCATGTCGTGTGCGACCGAGTGAGATGTGGCTGGACGCAGTCAAACAAACCCAGCCACGGAGAGAGGGGGAGAGGGAGAGAGAGAGAGAGAGAGAGAGAGAGAGAGAGAGAGAGAGAGAGAGAGAGAGAGAGAGAGAGCGAGCAGCATGACATGCCAGGTGAAAAGTAGCAGTCAGGCTTTGGTGCTCTAAGATGTCTCTGCCAGCTGATGCCGACTAAGCCACAAAAAATAATAATGGCAAAAATGGCAGGGGGTAAAAGCTTGGTTAGATGAGAGAGAGACAGAGAGGAAGAGGGGGGAGAGCTTTCCTCTCTGGTTAGCAGGTAGAGGTGATTGTGGGTAAAGAGCGTATTAGTATCATTAAGGTCAGAGGGGTCACTTCTTCTCATTTGCTAATGGTCTTTTAGGCTTTGCCTCTGAGTGGATGCCTCAGGTCTTTTTGTCTTAAGAAACTTTTTTAATTTTTCTATATAGAAGGCCAGACTGAATGTCAACACAGTTTCACCCTGCAGGGGCCCAGCATGGGGCCCCCGCATGGAGTTTGTGTTTGTGCCATGAGGATGTTTTCTTTTTTACCACCCTGGTGGAGGGACCGTCCTTTCAGACCACCTACCCAGAGTTGTCCTTGCTCTCCTGCTCCTCATCGAGCTCCTGTTTCAAATTCTCGGCTGTAAGGTGAGCCGTCGACGAGCCCTCCTCTGCGTCGCCATTGTGGGGGGCGTCTTCTTCCCCGTCGTCATCATCCGTACTGTCCTTTTCCTCGGACTTTGGAGGTTCAGACTCCGTTTTGTTTTGGGTTATATCAGGTTTCTCCTCCTAAGGGAGAGGGATGATTTTAATATAAACAAATACACGAGGGGTTTGCAAAGATTACACTAAAGTAAAGTTTTGATTAAATATCCAACATAAGAAAAATGTATTTATTTTTATAATTCAGACAGTATTTAGGAGAATGCACCTTGCAGACTACAGACTGCGCACTGCAAGGTTCCTCATCCACCTGGGCTTTTTGGTCTTCTGACCCAGAGGATGTGGGAGCTGCTCCTGCAGCCTCCTCCTCAGACTTCACCTCCCCCTTAAGACCTTGCTTCAAGGGGAGGTCCATCCTGAAGGTTATGGCGGTGGACGTGCAGTATTCCTCAAATCCATACAAGTACCTGCATGATAACACATTCCTCGTCAACACAACCAGAAGATGCCATTTGGAATTTCACTGTTCTTCTCCGCTCCAACAACTTTACAGCAAAAAGCCAAATATTGCAAAGATCCATTTACTCTAAGGGAGTTTACTAAAAAGAGGAAGCATCATACATAAATAAATAAAACAGATTAAAAACTGTGTCGGTTTTGAAAAAATTAAAGAAACAAAAGTTGCATCTCCGGTCGAGTCAAAAGCTCTGAGAGGCTGCGGTTGCAGTTTCTGTACGTACTTGCGGTAAGCACATTTGACATTGTAGCCAGCGGCAGAGTTCAGCACTGGGATTCCCAGATCCTGATAGACTTGCTTCCAAACTGCGCCGCTTTCAATCTGCTCAAAACGTGGACACAGAAACGACCCAGTCAGCATCAACAACAACACAAGTGTGACCAGAAGCAAACGCCAGCGACAGTTATTGCTGTCAGAGCGGCACTCACGTTATCAAAGCCGCCCAGTTTGTGCACCAGCCTGTAGAGCTTGAACAGGTTCAGGTTCTTGTAGCCCAGAACAGGCCGCTTGTTGATGGGAGTTCCTGAGGAGGAAGATTGAACAGGTGAGGAGATGGAAGACACAAAGGTTTATTTCAACAGAGAGAGAGAGGCAGAGCTGCAGGTTTGGTTCAAAGGACAAAAGTATTCAGACACTTCACTTAGAAAAACTATGAAATAACCGTATTTAATATAGTCCTGTATTGCAAAAATACATTTTGAAAATGTAGTTTAAGTATTAAAAGTACTCAAAATGCTCCCATTACTGTTTTGGTTGGCGGAGTTGGTCTAATTAAATCTTTTATTTAAGGTTCACTTGTTTTCTATCAACCATAAAAAATTTAAA